CGTGGGTCCAGGGCGCGGTCCGGAGTGGCCAGTCCAGCAGCCCGCCCGCGGCCGGCGGCCGGCCTCACCATGGGCTCCGGCGGGAACAGCGCCTTGGAGAGGCGGTAGAGGTTGCGCAGGTTGAACTGGATGCTGGTGTTGGTCACGCGCAGCTCGTGGATGCTGGTGGAGCTGTCCTGCGGGCAGATGTCGCTCTCTCCGGAGAAGGGGGACACCGTGATGGTGTTCCTGAGCTCGTAGAGGGGCAGGTTGTCTGAGATGCCGCCGTCCACGTAGCGCTGGACAGGGGTGCCGGGCGGGCGGTGAGGGCCTGGCCCGGCCACCCGGCCTCCGGCGCTGGCCGTGGCTGGGTACCCCGGGGGAAGCGGGCAACGCGCGGCTGGGGCAGGGCGGGCCCGCGGTACTCACCACCCCCTGAAGGGTGGGCGGGATGAGGCCGCAGTACACCGGGATGAAGGTGCTGCAGACGTTGGCCTGTGGCAGGGGCACCGAGGGTGGGTGAGCCGGGGCCGGCCGGGGCCGCCCTGCACCCCGTGGCCCCCGGGGCCCACCTGGATGAGCTCATCCTTGGAGCTGAAGTGCGATATGATGACGTTCTCGCCGTCCGAGACGCGAGTCAGGGAGATGCCCAGCCGCCCGCTGGCCCGCTCGTGGCTGTCGGCGGGCAGCGTCTTCAGCAGGCAGCCGCGGATGGTCTTCACCAGGTTGAAGGAAGGGTGCAGCGGGCCCAAGAACCGCTTGCGCGCCTCCTTGGAAACCTCGATAATGTTGGCGCCCGCCTCACCTAGGCAGGGTGGGGGGTCAGGGGCCAGCTCTCCCAGGCTCACAGTCCTGGGCCACGCCGGGGCCGCCGGCACCCAGCACCCCCTCCCCTGGAGGGCTGCCAGTGTCCACTGTGGGACCTGGCCCACGGTGGGGCTTCTGTCAGCTGCCCCAGGGAGGGAGGCAGGGCGCCCCTGACAGGGCAGACAGCTGGGCCTGGCCAGCACCAGACAGGACCAGCCTCTGCCTGGGATTTCACAACTGCCCAGGGTGGGCACTGAAGCAGAGGCTCAACTCTGAGCAGCCTCAGCCTTCACCCACTTGGCCAGACCCAGGGTCCACGGGCCTGTGTGCTGAGTTGGGATTAATGGGCCGCCCCATGGGTACTGGCCTGGGGCGAAGCCAGAGTGGGAGCCAGCCGGGGGTGGGCAGGAGCTCAAGGCCTCCTCTGGGACCAGCACAGTGGGGTGGGGGTCAGGATACATACCGTGGGGACCTCAGCACCCACTGGCCAGAGGCTTCTTGGGAGTGGGGAGTGGGCAGCCCTGTGGGGGGGTCCTCAACTGGGCGCCAGGTATGAGATGGGCCCTGAGCCCAGCTTGGGGCCTGGGGGCGCTGGTCTGCCATGGGCCGAGGGCAGAGCTAACCCCTAGTGTCCCGGAATGGAGAGCTGTGCTCCTACCAGCCCCCTCAGGGCAAAGGTGGGGGGGGTCGCTGGGGGGGGGCCTGGATGGAGTCCAGCAAGAACTGATGACCTGCCTCACCAGGAGGCCCCGGCCAGCTGGGGGCTGGGCAGCGCTCCCAGAACCCGAGCCCACGGTGTGCTGTAAACACGCCTGCCGCCTCCCAGGAAATGTCAGCGGGCAGCCCTGCCCTCAGGACCGGGCCAGCCCAGAGCACCTGGCGCGCCCCAGAGCGCACAGCCCGGGCCCCCAGGGGCTCCGG